ATCGGAATCGGATGGGAAAGAGATTGGGTATAAATGGGTGGGTATGCAGCCTTACCTAACAGTTCGAGCTTTTGGGTAAATGGGCAAGCGCCCACCCGTTACACCTAATCACTAAAAGTTTGACACGTTATCGACCTTGTAACCACACAACTTATCTCTTCCCATGCATTCATTAATGCCGTATGAAACTGTTTGGTCGCCGAAGCTTTATTGTACGTCGTCTGAAACTGTGGCGTGCTGGAGTTGATTATTGAAGTTTCTGCATATGTCTCAAACTCACGATTTGGGGTTCGTTGAAGCTTTTCCGATGGATTGACTGCTCATGCTCTTTGGGTTTTGTCGCTTCTCAAGTTTGGTTCAAACAGCTTCGGTTCAAAACTCACCGGCTTCAATGGACGCTGCTGCTCTGAGCACGCCGGAACAAATGGTTTAAAGTTTCGTTCAATTTGTATATGAATTTAAAGCTTCTTGGTTTGAATTGAAAATTCATGATTATTTTTCAAAAGATGCAATAAGGTTGTCAATCCCATGAAACAACACATAACCGACCTAAACCCTTAATTTATAGCGTTGTAAACCACATACCAACTCCATTGCAGAGATTTGCAAGTCCTTTTCACAACCACTAAAACCCTATCTATGAAACCGCTATGATCCCACTTGTCGCAAATTCTAGAAACCTCCTACCCTAATTATTTGAGTTTACAAAAGGGGTAATTTAATCTGTTAAGAATTGAGAATCACAGAGAAACAAAATCAATTTGGGAATTCTCTTCATCGTAAAAAACTCAAAAATTAGGTTGAACACTCTGCAATCCAGTCGGGTTGGGTCTCAACAGGTGGGTCAAAATCTATAAGCACTGGACACGGCGATATCACCAACAAACAACAAAGGCGATGACGACGATCCACGATGATGATGGACAACAACGATTGTTGATGACGATTGGCGATTACGGTTGATGACGAATACCAGGCAGTGATTGAGGCTACAACAACTATCGTGGTTCCCGAATTCGATGCCGTCAATTGTTTCTTAACATTATTTTTTGGAAATTCTTCATTTTTTTTTGGAAGAATTATACAAGCATGTGAAGTACACACACACGCACACATGCACGCGCGCGTGCGCGCACACGCACACACATACACACACTAGGAAAAGGCACGTGCGATGCACGTGGTAAATGTTTTGTAACTCATATAGTTTTAGTTTTCGCATTTTTTAGTACAACACTTGATCTTAGCCAAAAGGCCAAGATATGTGTGATTAATATTTCTTTAGGTCTATAGTTTTATAATAGGCTTAACTCAAAACCAATGTGGAATAAGAAAAATGAATTTTATTAGGTAATTTGTAATTTGAATTAAACTCTGTAAATTAATTTAAATAATTTTTAGGTATTTTTTTTTATTTTTTTATAAAAACTCTTTTTTTTATATTAATAAATAAATATTGAAATACTGAAACTCTTTACACATTTAATAATATTATAGATATAGATATAGGAGGAGAGATAAGGTATTGTAGTTAGGGTTTATTTGGATTGGCTTTTGAAACACTGCTTTTGGCTTTTTGGATTTAAAAGCTATTTTTAGTATTGTTTGGCTATTTTTTTAGAAGAGTTTTTGGACTTTAAAAGAGCGTTTTGAAGAAGCTGGTACACCCCAGCTTCTCTAAAACCCTCTTCTAAAAACATGGGAAGCTGATGTTATATTTTAAAGAAACTTTCTAAATACTAACTATACCCTTTTTATTACTCAACAAAAAAATGAAATGTCAACCGTGTCCCTACAAAAGACACGATGTTCTTCTTCCTAAGCCCTAGGGCAACAGAAAAAACTGAGAAACCTCACGGTCAAGATCACCTCTGAATATCATTTTAGTCCCTTGGCGAAATTTGGATGTCCATCTTGCCCTCCTCGCAAAATCAAGCTTCAATATGGTTGTTTTCTTTCCTCTCAAAACCCTAATTTCAATCATGGACTCCTCACCTTTTGACAACTGCAACCCAACTCTGACTTTCTCATTCCCAAAAAATACTTAAACCATCCAAATCTGTAATTCTCAAACCTATGTCGATTTGTCCCACAAAATTTCAGGTGATACTTCGTTTTTCTAGGCTCTTTTCTTTAATTTTTTCCCTAACCCACTCGAAATCATTTGTGTAAAGTTCGTTCTTGCTTGATTTGTGAATGAAAAACTTTAAAAAATTTAACCCAAAATATTAAGATTAATTCGGTGGGGCTTTGGCCTTTATTCTTATTCTTTACAAGCCAGATTGTTTGCTCTCTCAAATTTGGATATTTTAATTTTAAAATAAAAACAAATACAATATGGACAATTTTTTTGTTGTTAGACTTTAAAATGGGATTTTGATTTTGATAAATACACTGTTCATTGCTACTTCTAAGATTAATATTGTGATTGAAATAGAAGACAACTATTTGTTAATACTAAATTATTGTTTCTGTAAGTTCTGGTTCCTTGTCAACACAACAGTTTTGTGCTTCAATGTAATTTTTTTTTGATAAGTGTGTTTAATGGAAAGTAAAATGATGCTTTGATGTTATTTCCTGAGCATTGTGTTGGTTCCTGAAACAAGCCAAAACAAATACTAAGGGTATAATAGTTATTTTCATAATAAAAGAGATTCACCAAATGTTTTTCCAAACACACATACAAAAATTGTTTTGACATTAAAAACTCTTTTAAAATAAATTTTTTAAACATTGACAAATAAGCTAAATAGAAGCTATTGCTTTCGCCTTTCTTCTTCTATTGCCTAAATGTAAAAGAAAGGGCTATACCAAACGGGCACTTAGCCTAAAAGGGCTATGTGGTCTTTTTAATTTTCAAAGGACATTATTGTTCATAAATTTTAGTTTCTATGTCACGTGATTCAACAAGAAGAGTCATTTGCAACAAAATTGCATAGTTGAAGAGGTTATTTGCATAATTGATAGTTCGGGTTTTTTTGGCATAATTGTCAATAGTCCAAGGGAGTTTATTGCACTTTTTCCTAAATATAATATTTATCAACATCTTATTTTTGTATATATTATTTTGGTTGAATTATATTTTCTAAAAATTACATTGTACATGTTGTAATTTAGGAGAAGTGAAGTTTGAAATTTTTTAGACAAAAAAAAAAACCTTGAGAAAAATTGGCCCTTAATGCGGAAAATTGACGGTTTGGGTTTGCAATCCTTGATGGGTTTGGAGAGAGGGGAAAGTTTGGGGTATGATGCTCTGTTCACAGAGGCCATTTGGGGAGGAACGAAGCGAGTGATTCGGGATCAATCGACGGCGTGGTTTCTCCAAGTCAAACCAGTGAGGAGTGAGGAGTGAGGAGAGAGAGTATTATTATATGCAGAGGTCGTCTGATTTGGGTGACCTGGTGAAATTGATTCTTCTCCGGTGAAAACAACACACATTTGTCAAGCATCCATGTGTTGATTTCATCGGAGAAGAGTGGTTCAGTGAGGGTACAGAGAAAGTAGTTTTAGGAATGATGAAAATGGCAACCAGAGGCTTGCACCTTTTATTAGCATGTCTTTTAAGAGTGGTCACGTTGGTCTCGGAAAGAAGAAAAAAGAAAAAAAGGCGCCAACATGTTTTCTCAACCCAACCTCAGGTTGGGAGTGTGCTACCAGAGTCTGCGTGGAGAGAGGAATAAAGGGCAAGCATCAGAATTCCCACTTTATCTGCGTGGAGAGAAAGGAATAATATATTTCTACTATAAAGGGCAAGTGTTAGACCTAAACCAGTTAATATTATAGGCTTCCCAAAGTGAAGAAGAGCGGCCAATTTTCACTAACCATGTAAGATATTTTTATTACAAGCTTATAAATATATACTATGTTTATTGATTTGTTAGATTCTTATTTCTTTATGTGTTGGTCTTTAACATTTTTATGGCATGTTTGCGACTGGGAAATTAGAAATGATGGTTGTAACCTTTTTGGTTTTGGTTCATTAAATTTTCTGCAAATGGTGTTGTTATGGCCAAAGTTGTTTCAATTCCTATAAAATATAAGAAAATACTGTTTGAGATTAGAAATCATTAATTTAGCAGGGAAGAATGATACTAACAACATCTATGCTATTATGGGTGAGACCCTGAAAGGAAACCCTTTCTGCTTTGTTTGGGCGTACATAATTCGACTTTTTGGATTTGAACTAAATTTTCTTTAATTCCGAATTCAAACTGCCAACATCTGTGAAATAATTTTAGGACAATCCAAATTTATGTTATCTGGACTCGGGTACGAGTGTCGAACACGGGTACGTGTCTAGAGGTCGGATCCATCTATGTATCAAATTATAAACACAAGAACACAGAATAAAAGTGTCCAAAACTTAGACACGAGTACTTGGACACTTCATATGAATATGAAAGTATGAAGTAATTACAACTGGATTCAACTTGGGCTGAAAACCAAGGCCCAACGTTAAAGAGAAAACATTGCATAGGCAGGACAACTAAATTTGACTGTTTACTAAAAACCAACCACCACAAATAAAAGCCCAATGTATTTGTGTCTGGTCAGTGATGTAATTCATATATAATATTATAATGAGGTTTTTATTTTTATAATGATGATCCAGCCTATTTTGGTAAAAGCCCAGCCCAACGTATTTCTTTTTGGTAAAGTTGGTATTGGGCTTCATTAATAGCCAAAAAGGCTGACCATCATGCACCGTCTTGTCTTTTTAGAGTAATGACAGGGGAATCGAAAAAGAATTCTCGAATTAACATTAAATTTGACATGATATATTATTCTTATCACGTGTTAAATAATTATTTTTTTGAAATTATTTGAATAGATGAAGTGAATAAAAACATCAGATTCAATACTTATTCGGAGTTAATTCTTCGACCCCCTTATCTTTATTCTTCTTTTTATTTGAGGAACGAAATGCACCAGCTGTCTTTCTTTTTTGTCCTTTTCTTTCTGGTAAAGTGGGTACTGGGAACCACTTGCAGCAGCTGTCTGGCCAAAGCTTTTCACATTGTTTCACGTGAGAACCACTTGCAGCAGCTGTCTGGCCAAAGCTTTTCAGCTATCTAGTTATAAGAATCAAAAGTCAAGGCACTGTAAACAAAAAAAAAATGTCTCTTCTTTCCGCAACTCCTTCTTCAACCTTTCTTGACCCTATTTTGAAATGGAAGACCAGAGAGCTTCATCCTATTTTCAAATCGAAGACTACCAGAGAGCATCGCCAGCTAATCAGCCTTGTCCGATTCAAAAACAAAGTGTCCAACCCATATCCCGTGTCCGTGTCGGCGTCGTGTCAACATGAACATCCTTGCCTGAACCGGAGAGTCCAGGTAACACAGACCCAAATGTGAACCCTTTGGTAACCATATATATGTAGTGGACAATAGTAGCTTTGATGTCTTATTGTTAATATTAGTTTGGTAAAAAATCCAAGAGTGTAGATTGAACAGATTTATTGGGATTGCCCATCTTGTGAACGTTTAATGCTAGACTTGCTAGTAATTATTGAATAAATAGGAGTTCTGAAGCAAACAAAATAGGGGCTTTTTATTTTTATTTTTTATGATGTAATGACATCTGCGTGTGTGTGTTTATAATATTTTCAAAGGAAGTATACAGGTCTTCTTTTTGTGCAAGAAGTTGTGTATTGGATGCTTCTGTGCTTTTTTTTTTTTTTTTTTTTTTACATTATCTTGTAATTTTGTTTTTTAACAAAAAAAGTTTAAATAAGAGAAAAATTCAAAAGAGGCCTATCCACCCCTACTCCTCATTCAGATTTATTTATGCATTCAAGTATCAACTGATTTTCCGGATTGAGCACCACAACTTTCAGATGTGTTCCAGTACTTGTAGAAAAATCGAATTTCTTAGTAAAGGAAAATGCTATTCTCACTTACGATTTTACATTAAAGGTTACAGATGCTGAACAATTCTTTTAAGAATAGTGAATATATTATTTTGGAACTTCTGTCTTTTTGTCTGATTTTAAGATTCTGTTGCTAAATTTGAGAATGAGTGACTAATTGTATTTGAAATACATTAGAATGCAGTTCTAAGATCCAGTAGGTCTTGTGTACGAGTGAGTGAGTGCTTGGTGTGGAAGGAAAGACACAAGTGTGAGCGTGAGATACCTAAGGTGTGAGTGTTCATACAGTCTCTTGTGTTTAAGTGTAATGTGAATTTCTATTGTGTGCAAGTGTATATGTCCAAGTTACTTTGCGTTTTGTTATAAACAGAAATATATTAATAAAATATATTTTCTCTTTAAATTACTGAGACAAAGATTCTGCTTTGTTCAACAATTTGATATCAGAGCCAGACGGTCAGGACCGTTGTTGAAGTGCGCTAGTGGATTGTCACTACACGGAATTAAGCCAGGACTGTGTGGAGCAGGGGAACAAGGATCGTTCAACGTGCTGTGCAGAGGAAGATTATTGTTTGTGCGCAATCTGGGATTGTGTAGCTTGTTATCCGGGACCAAGCTTACTTGACAGAACGTGGGGTCCCATCAAGTCACGATGGCAGATCTCCAATTTATTGGCGCAGTAGAGAAGCTCAACAACCAAAATTATAGCATGTGGCAGACGTGCATGGAGTCTTATTTTCAGGGACTTGATTTGTGGGAGATTGTTGGCGGTAGTGACATTACGCCACCTCCAGCAGCAAATGCTGAAGCACTCCGGAAATGGCGAATAAAGGCCGGAAAGGTCATGTTCGCAATTAAAACAACTGTTGAGAAGGAAATGTTGGAGTACATCAGGTATGCCAGCACACCAAAGGAAGCTTGGGATATATTACCAGCCCGCATCAGGGAAAAGGAAAATGAAATGCGACGACTTCAACTCCTCGAGAGTGAGCACATGTCAAGAGATACAACTAAATATGTGTCACTACATAGGGCCTTGGTGAAGGGTGACTTGGAAAGTGTCAAAGCTTTTCTGGCTCAAGATGAAAATGCAATATCAGTTCCAATTTCTCTGAGAGGGGAAAGACCTATTCATATTGCTGTTGCGGAGGGGCACGTGCAGCTGGTGGAGGAACTTGTGAAGATGATTAATCCTGTATTTTTGGAATTTAGACAAGATGATGGTGAGACAGCACTTCATATTGCTGCTAGGGGTGCAGACACAAGAATAGCGAAAGCATTGGTGGAAGCCTATGGGGAATTGGTAAGATTGGAAAATCGAAATCATCATCTCCCAGTCACCCTGGCTGCAATTTTTGGAAACACAGAGATGTTTAATTATCTACGCTCAGTGACTTCACAACAGGATCTCATCCCTAGAATTGTTAATATCCCCCGGTCTTACTTTGATCAACAAAGTGAGCATCATAAATTTTTTGTCATTATATATGAAAATGAAGCATCTTTTGCTTTCTCATAGTTAACAATGATATTTTATTGACTGGCCTGTCTCTAATTGTTTGATTTTCAGATTACAGGATATAGGCTATGTTCGCCGATTCAATTAAGGGTGAGAACTATGGTAAGCATCTGGACTCTAGTAATAATTAATGTTGATACATCAAACAAGTTCACTTATGCAACCTCTAACTGATTTTTACACCTATAGGTTTTGCATTGGACATGCTGGAAATCAATCCGGAATTGGCATGTGGTGGAAGTGGCAGGGGTACATGGGCCTTATATACAGTGGCAGAGATGCCTATTGCTTTCTCAAGCAGAAATCTACTTGGAAATCTTAAAATATGGATGTACAACTGTAAATGCCTCTATCTTACCATCTCTCTCTCTATTAATATTTGATTTGCCTCTCATATCTGCATGTGAAATTCTTTTAATAATTGAAAGGAGTGGGATGACAGATTGCTGCCCCACTCAGTCCACAGTGCACACCTATAATGAAATCAATTGTAGTGATTTGGCAGAGGATATGCTAGTTGAGATTTATGGCTGAAACAGTTCCATAGATTTTTTATTGCTGAAGTGCAATCAGAAATCCATATAAATGTAAATAAAAAATAGCCCTCTTATAACATCATTCTAATCTGAATCTTTTTAAAATTGCATCTAGATGTAAATTAAATTTTATTTGACATATGATCAAAGAACTTGAATATTTTTCTTTTTTATCATTTGAAACTCACACTCACCAACTTTGTCCTTATGGAGACTTCGACCTTCTACTTTGGAAGATGAGGAAGTACCACTAACTGTTGGTGGTCTATAATTACTATCCAAATCTTCCTGATTCAAAAAAACTCTGAAAATATATACATATATATTTATACTAATCGATAGTGGGCATGGTGGTTGGATACTTGGATGTATGGCTCCCTCTGAATGGGTTAGCTGTCTCTTACTATGCAAGTTTTTAGATATGAAATATTTATACACACATATATATGTATATACCTTATATATTGTGGGTTTTAGTGGTGGATTGAAATGGCAGTGGTTGTATATATATATATACTCCTTATATATTGTGGGTTTTAGTGGTGGATTGAAATGGCAGTGGTGGTAGGGGTTTAGCTGGGAAGAGAGGTGAAGTGCCAGAACAGATGACTAGTACAGTAGTACTGGAGTTCATGATGGAGAAAATGCAGGAAGTGGTGGTTTGGCAACAGAGTATGGTGACTACAAGTCAACGGTGTTGGTGTCTATGGAATCTTATATACACACACAATAAAATTTAAGGGTAGTGCACATGGCCAATTTCTGTCACTTCATTGCCACTAAGGGAAGGGGTTAGTTTGAGCACATTTCAAAATTTATAAACATGTGCATGTTGAATCTACAGTTAGGCAATTGAGATTCGGTGAAAGTGTATTTTCTCCAAAATTAATTAAAACATGATTATGGCTTGATAAACTCGACAATTCCCAAATCTAGCAATTCAATTGATCCAGCTTTCAGCATAATTGGATATCGTGGAGTAATGATTTTTGGTTGCAAGTTTTATTGAATTATTTAGTGTAGCGTAGAAAATATTGCGACAATGCTGCAGATCTAGAGTCTGATTGCGATGAGGAATGCTGCAAAGAGTTGCTCACAAATTCCTTGGTGATTCTAAGCTGTTGGATGGTGTCGGTACCTAATGGTGCCCACCTCGTCTATTAGCTGAGGGACATCGGTTGAAGCTATTGCTAGTACTTTTATAATGTTATATAACATACGTTGGGTGGGGTTACTCAGTTTCTATTGGCTGTTAAGATACATGCTTAATGAGAGTAATTAAAACCGTTGGATTTACCATTTGTTTCACAGTATTGACATCATGACTTTTTAGTTTTTTGGAATGAAGCACTAATACTATAAGTTTCAAAATATATTTTGTATTTAAATGATAACAGCCTTTCTTTTTCTTTCTGATAGTTATGGACGTTCCACCACCTAATGTCTATAATAAGCGCGATGAAGAAAATCTTCCTCAGACCTCCAGATCTCAGTATCCTTCCACTTTCAAACGCGTCAAGGATGAAGTATTTTTAATGGGTATCTTATCTTTTTCTCTCTTCCGTATGTCCAATGTTTTTCATTCAAACAATTGATTGGTCACGAATGCACTTGCATCCTTTATAAAAGAAATCTTGTTATGCGTCTCCATTGAAAAGGGCTGGGATCTGACAATGGGTTCCCGCCCAAAGATACATCAGAGTAAAGCTATAATATAAATACAATTTCCGTGCACATATCTGTACATCGCGAGTAGCAATATACATATAGATGAAATTGGTGTCAGGCGATCACACATGATAAAGCAATTGTCAAATGCTGAAAAACATTGTTTGTAAATGAGATGCTAGGGGATCTTTCACACATCATTGTCTGCTTAAATGACGATGACATTGTAAAATGCTTGCAATGATTTTAGAGTGTTGACAAAACTAGGTGCTTCCTATGCTATCTAGGACCCAATCAATTGGAATGCCGATGCATGCTTACTGGCTTAAATGTTTACAAACAGCTAGAGATCATCACTTGGTGTAGCAGTAAGAGCTCATACCACTTAGTATGAGAACTTATTTGAAGTCTTCATGCCAGCTACTTCATGAAATTTATGCCAAAAATTAGGTCTGTATCGATTCAGCCCCTCTAAACATCCCATATTGGCTGGGCCATTCCGTATTTGGGCCAAATATTTTTCCCTCCTAAATTGACCTTTGTGGAATATCCATGATGCATGCATATCATTGGTCATCTTAACCTTGGTACCTTGAGGGCCGATATGAAGAGTATGCGAGTGTTCAAATTCATTCCATGTTGTGTCTTTTAGAAATGTTAATTAGATATATTCTAATGGGATAAATGTTCTTTTTGATGTATAACAGTGCTCCGTTGTCTGAAAGGACTAATGTCAAATGTTCTTAAAATCGGTACGTAGAGTACTAATATATGTATTGTTACTGTATTTGTAATACTTTATACATATAGTTAACTATTTCTTCTTGGGTAAGAATTGTAGATGTCGAGCAAGAAATATTGAATATGAAGAACAAGCATATCCAAGCCCGTGAACTACTAAAAAAGATGTGTAATCCAAACTCGACTTCTGATCCTAAACAGACTGAAGCATACTTTGAGGCGACAAAAAGAGCCATCAAATGTGGGAATGCTGAATTTGTTGAGGAAGTTCTAAGGTCCAATCCTACTTTATTATGGGGGAATAAGGAAAGTGGAAGCATTTTTCACATGGCAATTGCTTGCCGTCAGGAGAGAATATGGAACCTCTTCTACGGTTTTAGTATTGCAAATAGAAACAAAATTACAGAAATTCTAGTAGAATCGCACAGCATGCTACATATAGCTGCATGTCCTGTAGTATTGTCTAAAGTCATAGGAAGACCAGATGGAACTTCGGAAAAGCAAGGAGAACAACAGTTCTGGAAGGTGTTCAGTCATGCCCCAGGTGCAGCTATGGAAGTGCAAAGAGAAGTACAATGGTACAAGGTAATCTGTTCTTAACTTTCTATATCATTGTCCAAACTTCTGGTCATAGAATGCCATTTTGAGTAAACACCCTGCTTTAGTTTACTCTCGGGGAACTTCATGCCATAGATGACGTTTCTGGTAGTAAAATTTTAAATCTCATGCAGCATGCTTACTGTGGGAAAGCTTTCAAAATATTTTATTTCTTAAAGAATATAAAAACTACGATTAATAAGGCCGATGAGACAACCTAGGTTGATGCAATGATGCAGATATTAGACCTCTTGTAGGAGCGGTTGGGTGGGGTGTAGGTTCTTACATGTGTAAGGGCCTTATTTGCGTATAGTAGCACATATATCCAACAAAATGACGATCTTCACATGACACGCACGCACAACTATTTTGTAGGGGCTCATATTCATGGAGATAGTCTACCATGGGGGTATTGTTTACTTGGTACCCCCAACCAATGGACAGATATAGAAACTCTCAAATTGTCTTACCACATGTAAGTACCCCGGAGTATTGTAGACTTTCTCCATATTCATACTCATGTTTCACTTTAGGTAAGGGTTATTGCACATGAACAAAGTTTTGCTCCAGTACGTTGATGCATAAGAAATATGTTTGGAGCAATTCATTGCCATCCATTGGAGCATGGTTTCTTTTCCAACATAAGAATTGCCTAGTGATGCGATTAGTAATTCATTTGAGCCCTTCCATAAACTCATATAAATATTGCAATGAAGCTTTTAGCTAGAATGTAAGTATCTGTGAACTAAATATTATTTTGATGTCCTTAATTAATTATGATAGGAGGTGGAGAGGGTCGTACCATCTTCACAGAAATTTCTTTCTAATGAAAATGGAGAAACACCTCCAGCTTTGTTCTGGAAATGGCACTGTGAATTAGTCAAAGAAGGAGAAAATTGGATGAGAGATACAGCAACATCATGTACAATTGTGGCCACTCTCATCGTCACTGTTATGTTTGCTGCAGCCTTCACATTACCGGGTGGTACTGATGATAATTCAGGGAACCCTAAGTTCCTACAACGTAACTCCTTTATGGTTTTTGTTATATCAGATGCATTATCTCTATTCTCTTCTGTTACTTCAGTGTTAATGTTCCTGAGCATTCTCACTTCACACTACGCGGAAAAGGATTTCCTCAAGTCATTACCCAAGAGACTGATAATAGGTCTCGCCACCCTTTTCTTATCTATTGCCACCATGATGGTAGCCTTTGGTGCCACTCTTGTTATTGTGCTTGGTGAGCAAATAAGTTGGGCTGCTGCTCCAGTTTCATTGCTAGCTAGTGTACCGGTAACCTTATTTGCTTTATTGCAATTTCCTCTGTTTGTCAACATGGTCTCATCTACCTATGGACACGGTATCTTCAACCGGAAAACAAAAAGCTTGTTTGTTTAACTCCTCAAATGACAGTGATCTTGCCTCTTGGAAATTGTACATGTTTGTGTGTAATCTTGTTGGGATTTATATGCCCTGGCATAGCAAATTCCTATCTGGATTATAGTGACATATGTTCCTGACATATCTGAAATATTTATGATTTATATAATTGGTGAATTCAATGTATTATGTTTCGATTCACTATGAAATTGATAGTGTCCATGTAATTATAAGAAATATTTATATATATGTATGTGATGGCAATCAATGCATAATATATAAATAGTAATTATAAATTGTTCATAGTCAGTAATTATGGATGGACTCATAATTAATTAAGACTTGAACTGGATTCGCGTTAGGTTGAGATATATTGCGAGAGCCGTCGTATGCAATTACTCCCTATCACCGTCATGGCATTTGACTCTTAAGCATGAGAAAAATATAGACTCTTTTATTAATTAATAATTACTTTGATTTGTTCGGCGGATTCTTCGAGATTCTTAAACCGACACTTTGGGTAATTATGTAATTAATAGTTAGAGGGTTATATTTTCAATATTTGCATCATTGCTACTTGTATTTATTTTGTATTGATTATGGTTGATCACAAAGTAAATTCGAAGGCCTTCGTGTGTTTTTAGACAAAATGATTTATTATATATTTATTTATTTAAATTATTATTTTTGTCAAACAAATGCTTTATTGTGATCGAGCCAGAAATAATCAGAGGTACCAAAATAAATATATTAATTAAGTAGTCGGATTGATGGCTTTATTTATTCGATAACTAATTATGCATAGAGGGGTCAAAGTGCAATATTGACTTAGATGTTATTTATTATTTAATTGGAGTTCAATTAATTTCTTTTAGTGGAGTAGAAATTAATTTATGAATTAATTGAATTGGGTCCATGGACCGGGCCAATTATTAATTCATTGTAGCCAATAAAATAATAGGCCCAATGGATTCTCAATCATAGCCCAACTTGATATTGGAATCATATTAGATTTGAGACAAATGAATAAGAGATGGAGAAGGATTTGTTATTTCCTTTTCTTTATTTTTATGTTGCCTATAAATATACATGGTCTATGTATATTTTAGAAAATTATTTTCTCTCTTTAGAAAATTAGTGTTTATGTTCTCATCTAATGGAGGCTCCCACAAGTCTAGTTTTTCAAGGTCATTTATGGAGGCTTATGAGTGATTCCTAAAGGCAAAACAATTACCAAGAAGATGGAGATCCATGGAAAAGGTGTCTAGCAAAAGGGATTTACAATAAGTGAAAACATTCACTTTAGAGGAAAGTTTTAAAGGTTTACTTAGACCTTTGATGTAAGTATTCAATCTGTTAATTGAATGATACATCATATTTTTATTTTTGCGTAAAACTTGTCTCTATGTGATGAATCAAGATTTATGAATCAAAATCCCTCGAAAAGTTTTTAAAACTTGCACGTTTCCCAACAGTGGTATCAGAGCATGGTTTGATTCATTATTAGAGATCATGATTTTATGAAAATCATCATTCATGGATCCAAAATTATATTCATATATATTTTTATTGATGTATGTTGATGTATGATTTAATATGTTGATATATATTTATACATGATGATGTATGAATAATTGTGAATGAATGATGATGTATGGTTGGGTCATGGATGAGGCTTATAGGAATATTGAATGTAATTTTATCTTTGGATGAATGTAATTAAGGCTTTGATTGAGCCGTTTGAAAGTTCAATGATGTAATTTATTTTTACCATTGTATTTCAAGTTGTAAATATTTTTAAAACCATGTAATATTCATCAAAGGATACTATGAAGCTTCAAGAAGGTCCAAAAGGGTTAAATTATGCTTCAGTAATTTTCTGGAATTTTTTCGAATTTTTTGGAATATTTCTGGAATTTTTTTAGGCTTAATTTAATTTTCTGGGAATTTTTCTGATTTTTCTGGAATTTTTCGGCGTTTTTCCGGTGGCCGGAGCATCGCCGGCGGCGAGAAGAGGCGTCGGAGGAGGCTGGGATCAGATGTGGTGCATGTGGGGTGAGCCTGGCGCGTGAGGAACACGCGCCAGGAGGTGACATATGCTCACGCGCCAGCCAAGGTTGTAGGACCTCCACGCGCGTGCAGGCGCGTGGAGGCGCGTCCCACGCGCGTGCCAGCGCGTGGGGGCGCGTGACTTCACCTGCAGCATGCCCCAGGCGCGTGTGAGCGCGTGTGGGGCCCTCCAAGCGCGTTCCAAGCGGTGTTTTGCTTCTCCTGGTGCGTACCAGCCTTATGTGGGTGTTTGCAAGCCGATGGATGATCTTCCCGCGATACTTAGAGTAGTTAAATGTTAAAAGCTGATTCCATTGGCCGTTTTATTTGTTTTATCTGTTATTTATTTATTTATGCAATGTATGAAATGCATGGAATATATAATTGTTAATTAATTATTATTCATGCATTGGATCCATGATATTTATTTAAATGGCTTGATTTACATTAATTAAATTATGAAAATTAATTGGATTAGATTACTAATTAATTTGAGGGCACTTATTGGGAAACGAAAAATTATTTTTGAAAATTATTTTTAAAGTGTGCCTTCGATTAAATATTAGTGAATCATTTAAAAGTCCAATTATTTTCTAAATTTAATTGGATTAAAATCAAGACATTTTGCATGCATTATATTATGTAAATGAATAAAATGAAAACCCTAATTATGGATGATTAAAAATTGAGTGGGAGCGGGGATTTTTATACATTGCCCCATGGCCTTCGTTATTAACATCATTGTAATTAGGTCTTCAAAAATAAGGCCCAACGCATGATTTGAAGAGTCTTAATATTACAAGAATGGTTATCTCATAAAAATAATAATATTAAATGTTCATTGTAATTAGATCTTTAAAAATAAGGCCCTACGCATGATTTAAAGAGTCTAGATTATAATGACAAGATATTTAATATTTTATTTTTCATTAGAGCATTAATAACGTTATACACTCAATCTAAAATTAATAATATTAGCTCCCCAACGGAGTGGTCTATACTAGGTGATTTTAGAAAGGCTAAACATAATCGGAAATCATTTCATATAGATAGACAAAACATTGTCTTAAGAGATATGGAAATGATGGGATTTGCCTGTCAATAGTAATAATGAACTTCGCCAACCGAATAAATTATTGGCGTATTGGTTATTCGATTTTTCATGCAGTGGTTAAGGGACCCACATATTATTATTTTAATGGAAGTGCTCGACTAATAGCAAATGAATCTCAATAATAGTAATAATGAACTCCTCCAACAGGATAAGTTATTGACATATTGATTGGTTGATTTATTATGCTACAGAGTTGAGGGACCCGCATTAATTAAAAGGGATTGTTCACCAATAATGATAATGATCTCTTGTTCGATTAAGATTTATTATATTATGTGGTTAACAAACTCATTTTAATTTTAAATATGCATGACAGTATTAATAATTCACCTTGCATATTGTATGAATGCATTTATATTCAGATTAATTATGTCTAATCCAGTTTATCTGCTTGCTTACATATTCGGTGTAACTGGACCTCATTAATATTGACTGGGAAAGGAACTTAGATATTTTATTCACAACGTAAGGGTACAAATGTATTTACTACTCCTAAACTTAATCCTTTTATTTTAAGATACCCAAGAGAACATTAATGCTTTGAATAAGTGAAATAACGCAAATGAGATGATTTGGTGCAATATTTTAGAGTTTACCTCGAATACGCTCCAAAGCTAACATTTACATTATTTTATTTTCTTTAAGCATCATGTTAAATGTCAATAAGATGTTTTGGTGAGATTAGATAGAGAATATGCTAAAGTACTATATCAGACTTGAATAGCATCAAGATAGCCTAAGGAACTCCAGTATGAAATCGAATTTTAGAAAATAATTGTTTATTATTTAAAATTAGCTGGAGATCAATAGGGCTGACTTGGGTGGTAAGTTTCAAGTTGACATGATTATTACCTTATTACCAAACTCGTTCGACTCTGTTAGAGTGAACTAAATAAGGAATCAGTTTGAGTTCACCCTCGCTGATATTCTTATAGAATTGGTAACAGATGAAGGGATAATCAAGAGTATGGGCGTTCCTATCAATCTAACCTAGTCTATACCATCTTCTTCTAGGCCCAAGTGGATGGGCAAAGCAAAGGAGAAGGATGATAATAGGACTAGACTAGCACAAAACATGGGTATTCAAAAAGGTTAAAGGGAATAAGGCAGTGTATGTTGAGGGAGAAGAAAACTGTTTATTTTGTCGCTAACTAAAACACTAAAGGACGAATTGTTTAAGCAATGACGTGGCATAGGAAAATATATATTTAATCATTGAGTCATGTTATGTGGTTGCGTCTATTAATTCCTGATGGATAGATTCTGGAGCCACTAAACATGTTTGCAATTTATTGTAAGGATTTCAGGAATCCAGAAGCCTTGATGATATGGCTATATATTTATCTTTTGACCTGATGCCAAGGTTGTAGTTAAGTCAGTGGGAGTATTACATATGAAATTAGAGAGTATGAGGATATTAGTATTAGAGAACTATCTTTATGCACAGAAGTGAAACGCAATCTCATTCTTATTTCACTTTTGGTTTATAAAAACTGTGTTGTTATTTTGTAAAACTGGTTTTATAAAATTGAATAGATATGCGATTGCTTCTGGTGCATTGAAAGATGGTTAATATACTATAGTCACAAACTCTTAAGATTTGCAAGATGTAGAAACTAATGTTGCATCTTCTAGATTGAATGTTAAGAGAAAAATTGTTATTCCTGACTCATTGTATTTTTAATGTCTATTTTTGGGTTGTTATCAATCAAAATAAGATTCAAAGATTGGTCAAAGAAGGTTAATTATCTAGTGAGGCAGAGGAGCCTAAACCAAACTTGTGAACCCTGTTTTGAAGGATAGATAACTCTTAGGGCTTAATCAGCCAGATGAAATAGACATAAAGGACAATTGGAGTCGGTACACATTGACACGTGTGGTCTTATGAACATCCAAGCAAGATTGCTCACGTTTTGGATAAATTTACCTGATGCGACACAAGTCTTATACTTTTGGTATATTCCGAGAGGGTTAAAACTGATGTGGAGTACAGATTAGATAAACTTATCAAGACACTTCGATC